ACTACGTGCTCCAACCCATTCTAACACAACTCATGTAAATAAGCTTGATGTCTGAAAGTGGTTGAAGTTATATTTTGAATGTTTCTCGATATTCTTAAGTTATATTATCATTTTCATTTTATTATCATTTGCAGACATCAGACTTGTAAGTTCACAAGCGAAATAATTATATAGACAAAAATTGCATATCATCCCAACAAAAGGTTTTTATCATTCTCGACAGATAGTTGCAAAGTAGAAATTTGACTACAAATAAAATACTGTTCCCGAGCACATTCTCAACTTACAATATCATTTTCAACTAACATTATTAGTATCATTTCATTATCGTTTGCAGATATTGCATAACATCTGGACAGTTAAACTATTGGTCCTAACAAAAGATTTCTATCATTCTCGACAGTTAGTTATAAAGCAAAAAATGTAACAACAAATAAGATCTATAAGGGATAAATTGTTGCAGGACATATGGTAAAGACGTTACCATATTCATCCCTGACAAAACTATGCCCTTGTTTGATTCTCATTCTTCTAAAGATTCATTTTTTAAAACTCATTTTCAACTACACATTCTTCAATAAAATAATGTTACACGCAAATTCAAATATTTTCTTTAATTTTTAACCACACATTCTTGATCAATTTACTATTCAAAATGCATTACTTTCCCAAAAATGGGAATCAAACAAGGGCTATAATACATAATTTAGTACACAGACATACAAAATTATAGCTCACTTCAATCATTGTCTACATTTGAATGTTCCTCTACTATCTTCATCCAAATCATTCAAGCTTATGACAATTATCTTGAGAGGTGAAAAGTTCGCCAGCGACTCATCATCGTTGGATTCATCTTCAAACGAAACTATGAACTCGAACACATCATCAAGTACACTCGAAGGTGACCATGAGACTTTACTTGAAATTTCATCTAGGTTGGGAAAAAGGAACAGTAGAAATAAATCTCTTACCATTAGGAAGATTGATCTCCTCATCATTCGAAGAAATTATGATGGGAAAAATGGGGATGAATCGGATATTGGCAAAGGCTCATTCAGATTCAATGGGTCATTGCTTTCCATGGATGAACCCATTATCACAATACGGTTGTATTGAGTGAAACTGTTTGAAATGTTTGATATATATAAAGTGTCACAAAGTTGGCGAAGTGTTTAAGTGTAACTGAGAAGAAAGTCGTGCCATGCTATTTTAATTAAATTCTTGGAGGGAAACAATTATGTTCTCTTGGAACACAACCACCAAATCATAGAGTGACAATTTGTGTGATGATTTAAGGTTTAAGTGTACATTTATCCTCCAAACTTTGTTCATAATTTATGGAAAATTGAATATTAAATCATGTGCACTATTTTATCTTAAAGTTTCCTACATGTAGTTGTTGATAATCAATTTTTATGAAAAATGTTAATCTTAAATCATGTGTACCATTTTATCTTAAAGCTTCCTACATATAATTGTTGGTAATCAATTTTCATAAGTATTTTATATCTCAATTGTAGCATTGTCTGAAATATTTTTGGTAATTGAACTTCTCATAATCAGTCTTCAATCAAGAAATTCAACAATTTTGTTGTACTAATTGAACAATCCAACAAGTATGAGAAACGAGAAATGATAAAATGTGTAACCAGACATGAATATAACCACCAAATAGTGTTTATAACCACATTCTTGGAGGGAAGCAAAATTAGGTCATTTAGTACACTATCACAAATCGATTTTAATGTAGTATTAACAAATTTTGTTATACTATTTCTTTACTCTCTTTCTCCTCTCAATATATGGAGTCCTAGTAGATGCTACAGGAAATCAAATGTGTGTCAATCACAGACTTTTTATGTTATCAACATTGTTGCTTACGATGGGTAAGGTGGCCATTTCCATCACGCTACAGGCTGAGGTAACTTCCTCGTTGTCCAGACATAACACTTCGGGCTCTATGGCTCCTCCATCTATTTGAAAACAACATTTATAACACTAACCAACATGAGTTTAGTATTTCTAGTTTGCAAACTATGGAATGAGATTAGAGTATTTAAAATTTTGAATTCTTCATAATGAACGAACGTACCGTTCACCTCTTGGTTCCTACTAGGCATTGAACTCTCAAAATCATTCAAGTATGAGTTAATGGCTCTTCCATCTAGTTGAAAAAAATAATTACAATAGAAATGGACATGAATTCAATATTTCTAATTTGCATACTACGAAATGAGACGAGAGTATTTAAAATTTTGAATTCGTCGGATGTTAATGCGACACACAAGAAAGCAAAAAACAAAGTATAATGCTCGGAAAATACTATCTTTAACTATCAAATAGTCATCAGTCGAGAATGACTAAAATGAATTGTCGGGAACGATAGTTTATCGCGATAGATGGGCCACATAACTGATTTGTTGAGAATTCATAACTGTACAGACTTTCCTATTCACTTAAAATATTGGTACCCATGCCTAACCTAGAGAAATATAATAAACAAGGTAGGTTGGAATGACAAGTATAATACAACAATCAGCTTTCACAAACCAAACAAATTCAGCGAACTATGAAATAAAAAATTGACAAAATTTGAAATTTTTTTTTTTATAAAAATGTAAAAAAAATCATATATAACACACCCAAAAATCTAGAAAAAAATATAATCCCAAAAAAATGAATAAATCTAAACTAGCTGTAAATGTTCCAAACAAAGCCGAACCCAAAACGAAGAACAAGCTAACTCCCGGTCTAATTGTAGGGAATTCAAAATTGATGGTACAATCTAAAAGAAAAAACAAAAAATAGGAACGTTAGTAAAAAAAATCTTGAAACAAAACCTTCAATCGATCGAAAAGGAGACACACATAGTCGAAACCTTACCTAAGATATTCTTCTTCCTTCTGCATTGACATAATAAACGAGATCCTAATGTAAGAACTTGTACTCCATATAGTTTGCAAAGAATCAAGAAATGAAACATAGAAAAGGAGAAAGGAGAAGTGAGAAATTTTGCAAAGAACTTACTAGAGAGAGAAAAAAGGAATTAATTAATAGTTAATAAATATTGCTCTTTTATATATATATATATATGAGGTGATTGATTGTCACATTTTCTCCACTTTTTATACAACTTTTTATGTTGTCAACTCAAGGATGTGATTTTTCAATTGAATCCCTATAATTTTATATATATGATCTCAAATTACAACACTCCATCTCACTCTCTGACATTGGCAAATAAATTTGAATATCAATCGCATGTAGTTGTATGTTGTTACTGCAATGCCAACTCACCTCTATATTTATTTAAATTAATAGAAATTAAAACAAATTGAAAAGACAAAATAAAACATAGGAAAACAAACATAGAAACACTTCATCTTTCCCTTCTCTAAAGAACCACCTTATCCAAATTTTTGTGATGGTAATGAGGGGGATGGTACAAGGATGGCACCCCATCTAGTAATTTTCCCTCCATGACATCACGTTTATTTTTTTTTTCCATCAATTTTTCCCTAAACCCTAAACCCTTACTTTATGTAAATTTAAGTTTTTGTTTTGGGATAAAATTATTTATAGTGTAAAATGATTTTTTAGAGAATGTGTGAATAAAAAGTATGAAAAAATTATAGGTCTACATGTAAATTATGTTATTAAAAAAATTGTGATAGAAAATAAGTTTAAATAAAAAGCGATTTTGAAATATGTTGCATAGATGAACTCTTAAAAAAAAAAAAAAAATTATTCACGAGGCGGGGCGGGGCGGGGTAAATTGCCATCACTAGAAATGGGGCACACTTGCATGATATTGTGTTGTGAAACATTTTTTAATAATAAATATAAATGGAATGGGGCTGATTTTCAGCACTATCTAGCCTACAAACCCGATTAAGCGAGAAACTCACACCTCATTCAAGGCATGTCTCATTGGGATCAGTCCCAACTAATTTTCTTGCCATCCCTACGCAAATTCTAAAAGGATCATTACAACAAAAAAATGTTTTTGCAAAATGTAAAATGCAACATATTAATTAAATGTAGCTAAAAGGGTCAATTGCAATACTCTAATAAGTGAATATTGCTAATGTCATCTTTTTGAAATATTTATTTAGTGTTGGGAATTTTTTATTTTTGCAACGTTTATCAAATGCTGCGAAATGACCTTTTCGCAACGTCGCAAAAAGTTTATCTTTCACAATGTTTATCAAACGTTGCAAAAGAAAAATATTTTCGCAATGTTTATTAAACGTTCCAAAAAGGTTTATATTTTGCAACGTTTGATCAAAATGTTATAACAACATTAAGGTAGTTAGAATTTTAGGTTAAGAAGGTGAGTTGGATTGTGTCATGGGTGGGGGTATTTTTTTTTTCATTGTGGGCCTTTTTTCAATTAGGCATTCTTTAAAAAAACATTAGGCCCATTAATTACAAAATAGGTCCATGTGTGATTTCTCGGTTTGGGTTGATTCTTTGTGATATTTCTAGTTGGGTTCGGGTTATGGGTTGAGAAAGGGATAGGGTTGGGCTGGTTCACAAGTTGACCAGACCCAACCGTATAGTTAAAAAAAGAAGGATTGAAAATTTGGGCCCAACCCCAAAGGCCCATTTTTTATGTTAACCACTATACTTAGCCCAATAGTGAGTAGCCCAATAACACATACATGACCCATGACCCATTTCTAAACCACTGCAAGAATTTATACTTTCCCTACAAAATTTTCTCAAACAAATTGAGATTTATAGGTAGAAATCACTTTTTTCCACAAAAAATAAAAATAAAAATTGTAGGACCAGGATTTGATTTAAAATTTTCAATAGTGGGAGGACTTGTTCCCACAAAAGTTTATAATTTTTCTGGACAAAAAATTTGATGGGAAACATATGTTTTTTGTTGACAAAAATATTAAACTTCTTCGTGGGCTAATAATTAGCTGGAAAATTTTTCTTTTTTTTCTTTCATTTTCCTTTCCTTTTCTTTCTTTTTCTTTTTCTTTTTCATTTTCATCTATTTTCCTTTTGTTTTATTTTTTCTTGTCTTCCCCACATTTTATTTTCTTCCCCAAATTTCCTTTCTTCTTCTACTCTGCTTTGTTCCACCACCAAATTACCGTCCCGCTGCCTTCAATGAGACATCAGCCATCGAGCCCACTAATCTAACGAACCAATTCAGATCCAGAGAAAGTCCAGAGGTATGGTTTATTAATTTTTATTTGTTGGGTTATTACTGATTTGTAGGGGAATATTGTGAAATGCTAATTGGGTTATGTGGTTGCTATAAATTCGTTTATTGGTTGCTATCAGTTCATTTATTGTGTTGTACGGGTAGATCTATCGGAATATCATAGATCTACGGTAAGATTAAGGTTTAGACATCGAAGCACCGTGGTAGCATCAATGCTGAACACGGCCCTGGGTTGATGAAAGCCGACAAAATTTATTATAGAAGGTCTCTTGAATCTGTAAGGCTAACCTCATTGCCGGTTCGTTATTAATGAACATCTCGTTTGCAGATTTATGCTTTTCTTGAATTTCAAAACATTATGTTAATAATGAAGGTCTCATCTCGCTTTGGATCGATGAAAGCTGATAATTTTTTTCTGCAATTTAATGTAATACTATTAGCCCTAGTTTCCACCCGAGTTCTAATAAAATGAAACTGAAGAGAAATACCAACTTTCTATAGTATGTGAATATCTCTAACTAGGTAGAGAAATGGAAAAAATTACTTCGGCAAATTGAAGAAACTAAGTCAGCGAAGCTTCTCTCCCTAAAAAAACTTGTGATGACAAATTGACAATTTGATTGAAAATATTATGGCTTTGTTCTTTGCATCCCCTTTTGGTTCTAGTTTTCATTGAGTGCTTATTAACATGTTCCTCATTTTGAATATCCTATTTTAAAATTAAATATTAAATTTTTAGTTAAAATTTTTTTGTAACATTTACCTTTATAATCTTCAGCATTGAACTAATATTGAAATTGCTTGGTAGGTGATGAGGAATAGTCAGAACCAAATTAAGGGAAGAAGGGGGTTAACTTCTTCTCTTCCTCTGGCTCACAAAATGGAGATTTAGTCAACCATTGAAATTATTACCACTTGCTCTGCTCCACAATTCTAATCTTGCTTATAGGGTGGTAAAACTTCACAAACTATATTTTACTCGATTTGACTAAAAAACGTTGAAAATCTGCTAGATCACTAAAAGGGGCTTCTAACATGCATTCTAGCAAGAATTTCACAAGAGACCTCCATAGAAATTATGCGTTCTTCTAGTGTAAAAGAGACTTTAAAGAAGGACTTTAGTTGAAGAAGTACACCTCAAATAGTAAGAGGGCCTCGGTCAAAGATAAGAGTCACGTATAGCCCTTGTTTGAGATTCTTCTAAAAATTCATTTTTTTAAAACTCATTTTCAACCACACAATCTTTAATAAAATAATATTACATGCAAACCCAAAATATTTTCTTAATTTTTAACCACACATTCTTCATTAATCTAATATTTAAAATTCATTCTTTTGCCCAAAATGGGGTTCAAACAAGAGCATACATGAACTTTTTCTGGATGCCAATAGTATATGTTTGTTGAATGCATACATGTATCCATGATATTTGTAGGTTGCATTGAAGCTTATCACCTATATAAGAGGTAAAACTATCAATCCAAGAAGAATCTAAAATATCTATAGAGACAATGTGAAATTAGGTACTAATTGCATTCCACTTCCTCAATTATTTCAATTGTACTTACAAAATTTGGCTATATTACATAATATATTTTATGAATTTCAGACCCTCTTTACAAAGGCTTTATAAATTTTCAAGAAGCATTAGATGCAGCAAGACAGCATATAGGAATAAATTTTTATTTATCTCCTTCTTTAAAAAATTACTCTGATCGTCCATTAGATTTCTCTCCAAGTAAAGATCAGAATATTTTTTGCCAACACTGTGAGTGTATGCAAAGAAATTATAAAGTTATTAATGAAGCCAACCTTTCATTAGAAAGAGCCAAACTCCAAAAAAAAGTAGCCCAACTTGAAAAAGAGATTTTGGATTTAAAAGTCCAATATCCAACAAGTACTATAGAGCCCAATAAGTCCATAGTTAGTCCAGCTCAAACGGTAACTGGTAGAGACTTATCAAATCCGTTGAAGGTTGTGAACTTACCAAAAGTCCAACAGATTCAGGGGATTGTTGATTCCTCTACTAAAATAGATGATCAGACTTAGCAGAATGATAAATTTGCTACAGAAAAGGGTAAAGAAATTTGGGATCTTTTAGGACAGCCTAGTAGAAAATTTGATTACTTAGTTAAATATAGTCCACCAGAACATTTTTCATTAGAACATTTTTCAAATAACCCAGGTCTTTTACAAGCCTAAGAAATTTATTCTAGTAAAGGAAAGGAAAAAATGGTTGCCCAAGATAGTCAAGATTGTTTATTTTTTCAAGAAGCACAAGACCCCAATCCAGGCACTGTTTCTTTAGAAAAGATTTTTGAAAAAATTGAAGAATTTCAGAGACAATCCAAAAGAGAAGAAGGAACTTCTTCAAAAAGGAAGAAAAATATTAAGAAGAAGAAAAATGAAGAAAGATTAAAAGAACAAATTAAAGAAGCAGTAAATCAAGCATTTAAGATAATTTTAAAAAAGAATTATGAAGAAGAGAAAGAAATTGCAGAATGTCCAGATCAAAAGGAAAAAGATGAAACTAATCATTCAAGACTTTCATAAGAAGATGAAGATCCACAGAACAAATGATACAATAATTCAGACAGTGGAATATCATTTTCATTAGTGGCACGCCATAATCTTGATACATGATAAGATTCTCAATAATACAGAACAAGACAATTTTTGGTGGAAGAGAAGAAAAGGTTGAAGAATTTTTTATCACTAGATTGTAGACTTTTTGACTAAATTTCATTATTATAAAAGATGTCAGAACTTTTTGAAAAGAAAGATTACCACTTAAATTTTTAGACACATGTTATATTTTTTATTGGCTAGAAGCTTCTCGGTGAAGTGAGTGCCTTTTCCATTAAGGATAGTTTAGACTTTTTGCTCCCAAGAATTTTTCTATTTAAAGAGACAGTTTCATTTGGTTTAGGCAGAAGTTTACAACCTATGTACTCTCTGCTATCTAAAAAACCTTTGAAACCTCTCCTCCAAAAAAATTCTCAATCCAAAAACTATTGTATATCTGAAGTCCTTGTGAATATTTTAAGGTACTCTTGTTTTCTTTAGTTTATTTTAGAACTTTAGGGACTTCTCGAAAGGGAAATCCTTAGTTGTAAATCTTTTAAAGATGAATTTATAAATCCCTGATTGATGTTTTACTTCTTAATTTTTATATTCATGTTTTTCTTGAAGTAAATATTTGTTATGTTTCTCATTTCATCCTATGCATATAATAAAAGTATAACTTGATTTTTAGAAGCCATACTGTTTTTAGGTTAATCCTGAGTGACCCAGATAAGTGAAAACTTTTGACCGGAGTAAGCCTCTTGATGTTTTCTAGAGATGTTGGGGAAAGGGATAAATTAATCTAAGAATTTTATAAGGGGGTGTCACGGGTAACCTTATAAAAAGAAATCAGGTTCAAGTTTATATGTCATAGGTGGTGAAAAAAAAAAGGATTTGTATATGATTCTAAGAAAAGATTTATAGAAAACTAAGAAGAGTACTGAGTAGGATTAAAGTTGTTAAAAAGTAAAAAAGCAGCAAATAAACAGTAGTAAAACTAAAACAGTAGTAAATTAAAACAGTAGTAAAACTTAAACAGCCTACGCCCCCATTTGGTATCCCAACAAAAGTCTTGCATTATTTTCCTATAATATCAAGACTTAAGAGGATGTTTGGAATATATGAGATGTCAATACAACTTAGATGACACTCAAGTAATAGTTCAGACGGTAAGATTAGGCATCCGATTGATTCATTTAGTTGGGGAATGATTAACAACAGGTGGCCACATTTTGCATCCGATGCTTGAAATTTTAGATTTGGTCTTGCTTACTTATGGATTTAATCATTTCAAAGCTCTTAGCTTTAAATACAATGTTGGCTAGTAATCTTAACTATATATAAGTTGCCTTCCTCAATTTGTATGTCAAAGGAAAGTTAGATTTTGAGTTTATTGATCCCGTGATCGAAACAACGAGGTACTGACATAGATGTTTATTTGGCACCACTTGTAGACGACTTAATGTTGTTATGGAGTGATGAGGTTGATGTGTATGGTGCAGCTACAAAGTCAACTTAAAAGATAATTTGATGTGGACAATATATGACTTTCTTGCATATGGAAATATATCTGGGTGGCTCGTCAAAGGAAAAATTGTATGCCCTATTTGTCGTGAAAATATATGTTCACTATGGTTGAAACATGGTAGGAAGTTTGCTTACATGGGACATAAAAGATTTCTCGCTTTTGATCATCCATTTCGCATGAAAAGGAGATGGTTTAATGGACGTGTTGAACATGGTATTAGGTCGAAGATAAAAAATGGTGAAGAGGATTCTATTGATGTTGATAAAATTACAAATAATTGGGGAAAATTGGTAAACAAAAAAAGGAAGAAGAATACAACTCAATCTAATGTAACGTGGAAAAGAATGTCAATATTTTTCGATCTACCATGTTGGAAGGTAATTATTGTAATATTTCCTTTATTTTTATTTAAATACTTCTAATTGTGTTTAGTTCTTCATGACTTCATTGATGTTTGATTTGCAGACTTTACTTGTACATCATAATTTGAATGTGATGTATGTGGAGAAGAATATTTGTAATAGCATCATTAGTACACTTCTGGGTGTCAAAGGAAATCTAAAGATGGTATTAACTCTCGCAAGGATGTGGAAAAAATAAACATTAGGCATGATTTACATCTTTAGAGTAGAGGAAATAAATTCTATCTGCCAGCTGCTCCTCACACCTTATCAAAAGCAGAAAAACAATTTTTTTGCGGAAGACTTGCTAACTTGAGATTTCCCAGTGGTTATGGATCTAATATTGAAAATTGCGTATCAATGGAAGAATGTAAGATAGTTGGGCTAAAGTATCATGATTGTCACATTTTAATGCAACAATTATTATCAATTGCGTTAAGATGACTTCTACCTAAAGGACAAAGGAACTATATTTTTAAATTGATTTCATTTTTCAAGGAAATATGTCAAGGAATTATAGATAAACATAAGATTGAACAATTAGAGATGGATATTTTCGAAACTTTATGCATGTTGGAAAGGTATTTCCCGCCTTCCTTGTTTTGATACAATGGTTCATTTGACAGTCCATATTAGGAGAGAAGTTCGTCTATGTGGACCAGTACAAAGTAGTGGGAAAGTTAGAGAAATTGAAAGCCAAGTACAAACTCAGGCACAAAGGGTGGGGGCACTAGAAGAAAATAGTGGAAGCACCTCTCAAGTTATCTCAGCAAAGGACATTTTATACATACTATAATAATATAGCCTAATATAGCCAATTACATGTAGAATAACTTTTGTAATTTTTGTAACATTTTACAGAATGTATAGGACAGGAATTCAATTGCTTTTCCTCCTTAGGTTTTTGTATCCTACATTATTAAATGTTTATTCAATATATATTCAATATGTAGCATTCTAGTTTTAAAAAGAATATTTTCTTTTTACTATGAATTTGTAGTCACACCAAGGAAGTGGTGTTCAAAGAAGTATTGCACATATGACAAATGTAAGATGTTAACTATTGCATTGGTACATGTTTGAGGAATAAGAAGTCATAACAGAAGGGAAAATTGCAATAACAGACCCAAGTGCAAATGTACATTACTTGCCACTTGGTCGAGACTGTTGGAAGGTTTGGGTTGAGGAAGTAAATATGGGTAATTGGACCTTATACAGACCTATAGATGGATTTCGAACCCTCAGTGAAGCCATGGGAAGTATTGTTGCTTGGCCAAAGAGCAGTATTAGACTTCTTTGATTATGGTATGTTTTCTAGATTTATTACACATACGCGTGAATCTGTTTCCATTTTCAAGTCATAGGGACTAGTTTTTTGACAGGTGTGAGAGATGAAAAGTATAAGCATGTAAAAGGGAACTTTGTGTATCCTTCTTATTTAGGTTGTGGTGAAGATGCCAAAAGTTGTTTGGAGACTGCAAGAAGTTTGTAAAATTGGTGTGTTTGTATCTATGTGAATACAGATGTGAGAGTAGGACTTGATATACCACATTTTCTGTGGATTCTTTTCTGATTTTGAATGAGTGTCAATGTTGCATGGAACAATCGTGACCATGTTAAGCCACAGGTTGCTAGTGTGTATGTGTGTGTATTAATAGGTTGAAATTTTTCCAAATGTATTAACAGGTTGGCCCCTATTTATGTCCCGTTTCTACCCCTATTTCACTACCTTTGTGCACAGCTTTTACTGGGTTTTGAGTACTCCTTTGTGGTCCATTTGAGTGGTCAATTTTTTTCAAATTTGTATGGTGTTGCTATGTGATTTTTAGCTCTTCACCTAAGCCTCGATTAACTTTTGGGTGCCAATTGTTTGGAGCTTTTGATAGGAAAGTTGATTTCCAATTTATTGTGATTATTTCCTTTATATGTAGTTAACTTAGTTTGTGTTTATTAAATGGTTGATAGGCATATTTATCACAACAATTGGTATCGGAGCCCCGTTTTAGGCTACTGTAGTGGCTAATTTTTCTATCTCTGAGCCGGAATTAATATATAGTAAATTGAATGTATTTTCATGGTGCAATTGAAGCGTGTGTTTGCTGATTTTGCAATAAGGACTTGAATCCTTAATTAATTTCGCAACTCTTGTAGCTACCGACCACCAACGGGTCCGCTTTGATAAATTGGCTATGACTCTTTAAATTTTTACAATAGCAAGTCATTGTGGGGAGGTCACTAATATAATTTCAGCCATGCTTGATACTGGGTATTATAGGACTATTTGCCTAAATTGTGATGTTATCTTTTTTGTGGCTTTATTGATGGTTGAGTAATTTCGTATTGCCACTGAACCACTAAAAATTGATCCGCTTTTGCATCTTTTTGGTTTTACTTTGTTTATTATTACTAGAGAACGGAATAGTTATGGCTTCGAAGGCACCAAGTTGGGTAGATCAATGGGGTGCATGAGGAATTGGTGCAATGGAAAATGAGAATACTTTACAGCAACAGAGAAGTGGGCACAATAGCCATTTTAATGTGTTGTTTAATATAGAATATACAATGCTCACCTCCTTTTCCAAATCTCTTTTTGGTGGTACATGTTGTTTCATAATTATATTTTGGTGGTACATGTTTTAATTTTATTTTGAAAAATAGAATGTGTTGAACATTTTACAAGTTTATTATGGGAATTATTAGTTTATTATTCGAATTGTTCGATCAAAGAACAGGATTTTTAGTAACCTAGTAAGAATATATAAAAAATGCAAATTAATTTTAAAAAATATAAAAATGACCAATGACAACGTTTGCAAAATGTTGCCAAAAACCTAAGGATAAATTAACGGCAACATCTAAAAAATGTTGCAAAAAGTTAACGGCAACGCTAAAAAAATTTTGCAAAAAAAGTTAACGTCAACACTAAAAAAATGTTGCAAAAATATCTTTTGCAACAATTTTTGAACGTTGCAAAAAGTCCTTTTGTAGCAATGAATAAGTGTTGTTGTATCTCTTCCATCAATGATAACATCGACCCTCAGAACACACGCTAAAGCGCTGCAAATAACCTTTTGTAGTGTTTTTTTAACCACTACAAAAGCCCCTTTTTTGGTGTAGTGGATGTGAGCAGCTGCCATATTACACTCCATTTGGGTTGTTAAAAGTTGATAATATTCAATATTTTGAAGCCCTACTATTTTCTTTGATGCTTTCGTATCAGATGACCATATAGTTTGATTCTCTACTATTATTCATACAATTCATAGGCATCGTCCATTGACATCTTCATTATTGCTCTACCCACTAAAGCATCGACTATATTAAGGTAATCGGGGAGTAAGTTGGAATAGAAATAATAGACTGGGCCTATAACATCAAGGATGGGACATTTTCAAAATAGATCCTTGAACCTTTTCTTATACTTATGGATAGTTCTCGAGTTCCCTTTGCTTAAATGTATGTATTTCATTTCTAATCTAACGAACTCAAGATGGTGGAAAATCTCGTAGTGAACTTCTTCACTATGGCATTCCAAAATACAATGCCCCAGCAGGTAGTGAATGCAACCAATCTTGTGTATTATCCTTTAAGGTATAAGGGACTAAACGCATTTGAAAAGTAGGTGTGACATCCCTTAGTGACTAATGACCTCACATGGAAGTTTGAAAGCTTGGGGTGCTTGTTTTGAGGTAGGTGTAGATTTCCAAGGATAAAGACAAAATTTTCGGGTGGAGAGGGGTAAAATATAGTTCATATGTCGATTGGGTCCAATTGTGCCAAGCCCAACATAATGCAATATAGGAATATATAAAAATATGTATAATATAGAGATAATATAGCCCCTGTTTGATCCTCATTAAATTAAATTACATTAAATTTCATTTTTCTCTCTCCTATTTTTAACCACACAATCTTCCATCAAATAATACTACGTAAATCGAAAATTTTTCCTTCTTTTTTAACCACTCATTTTTCTAAAAAATACTATTTCCCTCATTTTCATTTTCAAGTAATGGGGATCAAACAGGGGCATAATCTAAATTAGGATAGAATGTAGTTTAAAATAGATCCTAAGAAACAAGAATTATTGCATATTTAAAAGATAGTTGTCACTCTCCCTCTGTAATACTTCGAACTTTACATTACACATTTGGCCAATATGATTCATGCATTTCATGCTATTTACAATGTCTTTGCATCAATTATTGTAATCACTTTCTCTGAAAATGGTACATTCGAATTATTGAGATTTTAAAGATCTTTATATAGTGTTAGTCTTCGACTCCTTGATCTAAGTGGTGGAGAATCATTGATCTATGATAGAAAATTATGTTAGTCTAGATGTTGGATATTGATGTGTTAAAGATGGTGATCTTGAAAGTTTTGGAATCATTATCGGTAAAGTTTCTCGCTTTTAATTTAGTTAATCATAGTTATCATAAACCCTATCTAAATCTTTAACATATTTGGAACATGAGGCATGAAGTGACATGGTCAAAATACAATATTATAAGGTCCATGTAATGTTATAAATGTTGAGGTTAAAATTGTCGAAGTCGATCGAGAATCGAGTTTGAATCGGGTAAGTAATCAAATGAACGATTAAGAAATGAGCTCTATAAAATATGTTGGGATCTTACGCAAGTAAAATGTTGTAAACACATTAAGATAAGCCAAGACCACTTGATTTGTACCTGTAAGGATTGGCACAAAATCAGATTTTTACTTGATATTATGTTGGGTTTGGTGTTTGAGACGTTATTATGGCAAAAAGAGTGACAATTGTTGGAGATATATTGAGTAAAATAAGTAAGGATAGAAATTTCATAGTTGCTGGATTCTACCCATTCAACCCTTGATTTTGGATGATAGTAAGAAGGATGATAGTAAAAATATAACTTATATTTATCAATATGAATGTTTTTATATGCAAGCAAGAAGTATAGAAATAATTTTTAATGGATGAGAATTCTATTTATGGTATACTAATACAATGAAAAATCGAAAAACTGTCACGATGAAAACTGCCTGATTTGGGGTTGTGGAAAATGGATTGTTTTTTAGGCTGAAAACCCTTCACTTATCACAACCTTATGACATGATTACCTTCAAATACATGTTATAGAAGTATGGTAAAAATTTGAGAGTCGTTGGATATAATTAAGGGTGTGAAAAAGAATTGGAAAAATAATTGGACGTTGATGGAAATTGAAAAATAGATTCTGTCATTTTTCAGACTTCATATAATTATACCTTTACACAATCACTAATTGCTTCTAAAGCTTTGAGAAAATTGACTTGAATGAGTGTCAGGACATTAATGATCCAATTAAGTGATGTTTATATTCATAGAGCTGGAAAATGACGAGAATTATACAATTGGATACTTGCAGTGTTAATTTAGAATATGTTGGCATCTAAGCTCTTAGTATAAAATTGTGTGTTGGGGTTATTGAATTAGGGATCGTGTTTAATATTAGATGGTAATACAGGTTGCCTTTAGACGTTAGGGGAGAATGGCACTTGACTTACACCCTGTAAAAAGATTACACGCAAAGGCAAAAGGTAAGTAAAAATCCATTTGCAACTACAATGCAAGAACCTAGCATTTGTGATATAGTAATGATGAAATATTTACATAACTTTGAATAGATTACTATCTGTGACCATAGCTATGCTTCAGTCACATTGACACATGTTTCTATTAACTGTGACTATTTGTGTCCGCTGAATAGATTAGTTTGTGACCTCTATGATAAATTTTGTGACAATTAGTATGTGAAATCAAAACATTCTATGATCAAATTTTATTGCATTAAGCCCATGTTTGAGCCACATTCTAGGAAAAAAAATTCATTATTCATGTCAAATCAATGGGAAATGTGTGGTTAAAAAATAAGGAAAAGTTTTAAATTTACGTGTAATATTATTTTATTGAAGAATGTGTGATTGAAATAATGTCAAATCACTATTAAAAATGTATTTTTTCGAAAATAATGTGACTCAAATAAACCCTAAATTTGACTCTTTGTGAGCCTACATTTGTTGATTTTATGTGAATTTTCTACATTAGATGCGAATTTGTGGCATGTATTGATCTATGTGTGGCTTCTTTTATTTAGTATGTTAACATATTGTATTTAAATGTAAAATTCTGTACTTTTTTTTTTTTAATTTACTTGAGTAACTGTTACCAGGTCTCTATTACATATGAATGATTGTGGATTTTAATGAGTTTAAATGTGACATGTTGTTATCTGTGTGATCAGTGATGAGAGTTTTGCACATTTTGAAAAGAGTATTTCCTCCAACATTGTAACTGAAGGGTGTTTATGCACAATTCAATTCATTATTCATGAATATTTTTTTACAAATTCTTGTAGCTAGGATTCCTTAAGACCAGGTATGCATTCATACAGCCACAACTGGAAAGCGACTATCTGTAGTAGATTGTTTTTTTCGCTAATCCTTATTCGGTGAGGATAATGTAGTTTCAAATAGATAGTTTTTCCAAGAGAAAATTTTCAGTGTGTTTTGGTCTTCTGCAAGTGCAAGATGTAGTTGTCCACCACCTTGGGGTAGGATGTAAAAAACAAATATGAGGTGATGACAAATTATAGAATTGAAATCGTAGTCAATTTCCCATCCGGTGAACAGAAAACATCAGTGACATCTTGACTTGTGACTACTCTTAAGTTACCGAAATATTTATTCTTAATTGCGTGTGGTTTTCACCCATCATCAAACGATAATCGATTAAGGCTACACAACAATCTCTCTGCTATGCATGTAGGACGAGAAGTAGTTATCTTCTAGGATCTCTCTCCGAAAAAGCGTTGAACTTCATCACAATGTTCGTGATGACACTCTGTATTGTGCTTATTATGATCTTCCTAACAAACCATTTGCTAGACATTATTAAATATCTCCAATCTTGGACAAATCATAATGTTTGACATCTTACCTTGACAAAACACATACAGAAACATATGACTGTGACGAACATATATGTTAACTGTGACTTGTTCTTCGTGATTGTGGCCGTGAAGAAAACAAATTTAAAGATGAATTTGGTATATAATAAATCATACATTGTGTCCACCAGCAACACTTGCAATAATCTAGCAAACATAATGTCATTTTCACGAGGATTATGGAATACGTTCACAAATAATCTGAATCATGTGACAAACTCATGAAATAGGTCACAAATTATCGAAATCAATTCACAAAATACTACTTTAGGTCTCAAAATATCCAGCACATGTCACAAAATCGTATTCAAATCACATAAATGGTATTTGGTCACACGGTAAACAAAATAGGTCACGAAAACTATTCAAGACACGAAATATCCAACACAGGTCACAAAATGGTATTCCAGTCACACAATACCCAAAACAGGTTACAAATCTCTCGAACTGGGTCACACATTACACAAATCATTTCACAAAACCTGATTAATGCCATGATCAACGTAAAAAAATTGAGGGACAAAGATCGGATTTCACATTTTTCATTGATTGTCCTCCCGATGCCGACATTTCACTCTCTTGGGTGAAGAAGATTCCTCAACATCTTTCTTCCTTTTTTTTCTTTCTCTTTTTCCCTTCTCTTATCATTGACACGACGAGTTAAAACCATTTTTAAAACTTCTGAGGGTGGAAAAAAAAAAGTGTAATACTTCAGTTTTACAAGGAAACTTTG